CTTGAGCCCAGGAGTTGGAGGTTGCTGTGAGCTGTGATGCCATGGCACTCTACCCAGGGGGACAGCTTGAGGCTCTGTCTCAAAAAAAAAAAGAAAATATAATTGTACTTAATACCTCTGAACGCTGAACTATACTCTTCAAAATGATTAAGATGGTAAGATTTATGTTATGTGTATTTTACCATTATAAAACATTAAAAAAAATCTACTATTGAGGAGCCTACTACTTAGGAACTCTCAAGTTCCTAAAACAGGGCCTAAGATCTACATGCAACAGAGAATTCACAGATTCCAAGGTCTCCATGGGGTCCATGACAGGGTAATGCCAGTTCTCTAAGACAATGACTTTTTCCCATCAACATGAAGTTGTAAAAGCAGATTATGATTCAATATTCCCCCAAATTAACATTTCACCTTGAAACACAGCCCCCCAAAAGACAATGCACAAGGAAAATCTCTCCTTACCTCATCATACATCCGTGAGAAGACAATTCCACTGAATTTCCAGAACTCTGCCCAGAAGTCTGAGTATGACTCAACTGACCAATAGTACAAGTCATCATAATTCTCTAAAACCAAAACAGAATGGCACACAGGTCAGATAAACCTCAGAAGGGAAGTCTTTGCAGTTCAATCGTAAGATGGACACACCTAAGGAATGGCAGGGACATCTGAGTGGTTCAAAAGCATCTGTTAAACAGCACCTGTGCTCAGTGGGTAGGGTGCTGGCCGCATATATTGAGGGTGGCGGGTTCAAACCCGGCCCTGGCCAAACTGCAACAAAAAAATAGCTGAGCGTTGTGGCATGTGCCTGTAGTCCCAGCTACTTGGGTGGCTGAGGCAAGAGAATTGCCTAAGCCCAGGAGTTGGAGATTGCTGTGAGCTGTGTGATGCCAGGGCCCTCTATCAAGAGCGACAAAGTGAGGCTCTGTCGCTACAAAAAAAAAAAAAAAAAGAAATGGTCTTGGTTTTCTTATTTGTTTGTTTTGTTTTGTTTTGTTTTTGAGACAGAGTCTCACTTTGTTGCCCTCAGTAGAGTGCTATGGCATCACAGCTCACAGCAACCTCAAACTCCTGGGCTCAAGTGACTCTCTTTCTTCAGCTGCTCGAAGACTTTAGGCACCTGCCACAATGGCCGGCTACTTTCAGAGACAGCGTCTCCCTCTTGCTCAGGCTGGTCTCCAACCTATGAGCTCAGGCAATCCACCTGCCTTGGCCTCCCAGAGTGCCATGACTACAGGCGTCAGCCATCACGCTTGCCTTGATTTTTATTGATGCAAACCGCCACTACTAGTTCTCAAAAGGAACAAAAGCGCTAGGGCAGTGATTTCATATCTTAACCACTACGCTTAAGAACATGGACTCTGGATGGCAGAACGCCTGGGTTCAAATCACGGCTTGGCCATTTATTATCTGTATGACCTCAGGCAAGTGACCTAAGGTCTCTGTGCCCCCCCTATAGAATGGGGAAGGGGTGATGAATATCTCCTTCCTGCCACAGGGCTACTGTGAGGATTTAAATAAGCACAAAGAAGGAGAGAGACCAGCAAGATCCAGGGTGGCAGGGATAGGCTGCAAGGGGAGGTGGGCCAGGGCTGGCTCTGGCAGCAGGGGCAGGGTCAAGATGCCTGGAAGAAGACCTCATAAGCTGTCAAAATGCCAAGAGCCCTGGAAAGGGGAGCTGGAAAAAGTAGGTCTAGGGAAGAAACAAAGATCAACCCAGTGAAGTGTGGACAGTTGGCTCAGAGATCTGACACAATCAGGGGACAGACTACAGGAAATTTAGGGTTCCAAGATCAAAGAAAAAAGGCAAGGCTGAGTGCTGTGGCTCATGCCCATAATCCCAGCACTTTGGGAGGACAAGGTATGAGGCTCACTTGAGCCCATGAGTTTGAGACCAGACTGGGCATCATAGCGAGACTCAATCTCAACAAAAAAATTAAAAATTAACCAGTATGTTGGCACATGGGAGGCTGAGGTGGGAAGATTGCCTGAACCCAGCAATGATGCCTACACCTCCTCTAAGCCCTATGAGAGAACTTCCCCTGCCCCACCTACTAAGGACAGGGGACATGAACCGGGTCAATCAAGCTTGCAGAGAAAAATGCAATGGACAGTGAGTCCAGAAAGGTGGAACCAGCTGTGACCCTGGCAACCTGGCTTGGATACCTCAGGCAGGCCACTCTGCCTCTCTGGGACTCAGTTTACCTAATGAGTCACCTGGAAATTGTTCACTGGAGCAGGCCATGGTTCCTCCTATAACAGTGGAGTAGTTAAGCCTGTGTTCCAGGGTCAGGCTGGTTAAGCTGGACTAGAATTTCAGTGTGACTCCTGCCTAGACCTTGGACAAGCTACTTCACCTCTCTAAGCCTCAGTATTCTCACCTAAAAAATGGGGATAACAGCAGGGACTCCTCTAAAGAACAGCATAGAAAGAGCACTGGCTCTGGGACCACCACTCTCCAACTCAGTGACCTTAGACAAGTTATGTATCTTTTCTGGGCTTCAGTTTTATTAATAAAAGGAAGATAATGGTACTTATCATAGGGGCTCTGTGAGCACTGAATGAGTCAGAACTTAAAGTGCTGGAAACAATACTCAGTAGAAAGAAAGTGTCCCAGGGTGTTGGCCTTCAGCATCATGCCTGCCCCTTCTGCAGGAGTATCACATATGAGGACCCAATAGTATGAGATATTCCAAGACATGGAGACAGGGGAACCAGTCTCCCTTTTATGTGCCAGTAAAAGAAGCAGTGGTACATAGGAGTGCGCCATGCTCTCAGCTGAGGGAGGGAAGCACCAGGCTCAGCCCATTCTTTGGCCAAGGAAACCTTGGATGTACCTGCAGGAAACAGCTCTTGATAATTATCCCCCATAGTTCCTCTCTCTCAATGTCTTTTATATAATCACTTTGGTCCTCACAAATGGCAGAGTTTCAGCAGTGCAAACTCCCCTAAACTGATAAAAGAAATCCAGGCCTTTGGAGAAAACCTCAAAGCCCATCATGAGAGCACATCTACCTTCAGCATCACTGAAGAAAGAAGATGTGACCAGCCACCAAATCTGGGGAACAACCAGTCAGCCACAAAGGCATCTTGATATGACAAGGACCCTCGGAGACAACGGCAAAGTGGGTCAACTTTATAGAAGAACTTTTCCACCATCAGCAACTCAGGCGTAGCACCAGATGTGATTCTTCAGATGAGGAGGGTGCCACACAAGTTACAATCTGGAAGCCTAGGTGACCACAAGCACTTTTGGGTCAGGCTGCATGATGTTCCAGTTGCTAGAATATTCTACAGCCTGAAATAGTCACTAGCACTTAAGAATTCATGTTTAAATAAAATTCTGGAGTTCTGGCTGCTCCTAAGAAAAGCATATATCTGACTGTGGTAGCCAGCCAGTGATTCTCACCTCCAGGCATTTGTGTCCCCAAATTGTCTCCTCCCCAACCTGAACAGGGCTGATCTTCATAGCCAATAGGACATGTGCAAATGACCAAGTGTGACTTCTGAGGCCAAGTCATAAGAGACATCACATCTGCTTTGCTGTCTTGGGTCACGTGCTCCGGAAGAACCAATAGACACAATGTGAGGACACATTGTGCAGACAACACAGGCCTGTCTACAGCCAGCACTGACTTACTGCCATGTGAGTGCATCTCCTGGGCAGGGCTCCTCCAGCCCTGATCAAGCCTTTGAATGACTAGAGCTTCGAAAGCCCCTAAGCCAGAGCCATCCACAGAAACTGAGAGGTAACAAATGTTTGTTGTTGTTCTAAGTGGCTAAGTTTGGGGCTGGTCTGTGGTAAGCAGCAGATAATTAATGCACTGTCCATGCCATGTAATCGGCTAGACCTGGGGGTAGCTGCCCCATCTGGCCCTTTGTTGGGGGCAGAGGCAACAAAGATGGTGGTTAGGAACACAGCCTCTGGAGGCAGACCACAGCTCTACTACCTAAAGCTGCAAAGTCTTTGTGTTTCAGTTTTCTTAGCTGTGTAATGGGGACAGAAATCCTGCCCACATGGTGGGATCACTGTGAGGGTTACATTAGCTGATACACATCAAGTGCCAGAATGGGGGCCAGCATCTATAAAGTACTCACCAAATATTAACCAAAGATTATTAATATCTCTGACACCTGTCTGGGCCCCACAGGCTTCTAAATTTTTACCCCTTCTTCCTCTCCACCCATGCAAACTTTGGCCAGCCTATACTTTCAAATCTCAGCTAAAGATTTCAACTGCCCTCTTAAGCAGCACTCTGCTAAACCTAGTACAGAGTGAAGTGCTCAGAATGCTGACCCCAATCTGTCCATGCGCTGGATGCTCAGCACAGACTAACTTGTGGCCCATTTCTCCCAGGAGGAGCCTTCTCCCCCAACCTCACTGAGCTATTGGAGAATGTGGACTGAGCCTTCTATTTGTTGGCAAACTCTATTCCAAATCCTCACACACAGAGTTGACTTGCAGAGTCCCTGCCCTTCCCTCTATGGAGGGCCTAGAAGCTGCCAGGTGGAAATTTGCAAATCCGTGGTCAACAAGGAACCATTGAGAACATCTGAACCAAGGAGTGACAAAGTCAGACCAGTGCTCCAAGATTATTCTGGCAAAGCAAGCAGGGTGTACTGACAGAGGAAGGGAAGCAGGAAGCAGAGAAACCAACCACTGTTCAGAAAAGAGGGAAGGAGGCCCCCAGACCCGGGCACAGGACTGGAAAGAGGGGATATAGGAAAGCTGTGACTCTGTCTCACTTTCTGTGAGGATGACCAAGAACAGTGATGCCACCAACAGAAACCAGGGAGTCCCTGCACCAAACCGGCTGAGGGGAGAAGAAAGCCATGATGAGTTGAAAATCTCTGAGCAACGCCCAGGGTAGGGGTGAGGGGCAAGTGGAGCAGGAAGCTGGACAGGCCAGCTAGAGCTCAAGACAGAGCACCTGGAATGCTCCTCACCCAGACAGGTGGTTTCTGAGGGCCAAAGTTGTGCCTGGAAGGAGGTTCCTTGGCTAGGTTCAGCTAGGGGACTGGCAGTGTAAACTCAATGGGGAGGGTCCTCACCTGGCCATCCTCCCAGGCCCTGGCCTCTAGGAGAAGCAGAATGTGAGGGACAAGAAGGGTAGCTCAAGATACTGTGAGCCGGCAAGGGATCACCACAAACACAGTAAGAGCCACAAGTCAGAAAGACCCTATACTCAGGACCAAGCCCCTACTGGCTGGAGGCCAAAATAGCAGGAAACCCCTCACAGGAAGGAAAGCCCAGCAAGGGACCTCACGTTCAAAAGCAGGGCTGCCACCTCCAGAGGGGTGACCCTCCAGGGAGAGGGCGACACCCATATACGGAGGAGATGCTGCAGAGGGTGACGACCCCCACGGACAGGAAGGCAAAACCCCAGTGATAAGATTCCCCTACCCCCTGGATAACGGTCCCCATGTCAGTGTCTTCTCCGATCCCAGAAGCAGAAACTGGACATCGCAAGAAGCTCCCGACCACGAGGAGGGGTCCTGACAGCTATGCCCAGGAATGGGAGCGCCCCCACGCCCGGGAGGCAAGACCCACCAGGTGGTCCCTTGCACCCACCCGGAGCCCGTATCAAGGAAGGTCACCATGGCCCTGAGAGGTGACCCTGGCCGCGCGCCCCGCACTCACCCAGCGCCCGGCCGCAGGCGGCTCCCACAGCCGCCCGGAAGCGGTCCATCTGCGTGCGCTTCTTGCTGTCAGGCTCCCACATCACCTGGCACTCCATGATCTCCTCCTGCCCGGCCCGCGTCTCCTTAGACATGGCTGCGGCGAGGACCAGAACAGGAGCCGGGGGCAGCTATAGGAGCAGCGCTGGACGCGTGAGCAACTGAGCCGAAGCCGTAGTCCAAGCCGGAGCCAGCGCCGTTGCAGCTGCCACCTAGGGGACACCGGCTGGCCCCGCCCCCTCCCTGCCGGCCTGCCTCCAAGCCCCGCCCCTTTCCTCCTGTATCCCTCCGCCAGGACGGCCTCACAAAAAAGTGCTGGCAGCGCGGGGACTCAAACCCAAGGTCTGGGGCTGGGCGGGTGTGCGGCTGCGCAGGTGCTTTGGGACTCAGCTCCCCTCCCTCCCCGGGGGCAGAAGGGAGTTAAAGCAGCAGTGGCAACCAGGCGTCCGGGACGCTGGCTCCTTGATGTATGTATCCTTTCACTCGTTGTAGGTTTGTTCTTCCTGCAGATAATTAATTTATTGAGCGCCTACGGTGTGCTGGGCGCTTCATGGAGCTTTGAGGATACAGCAGTGAACAAAGCAAAATTATTGCCCTTCTGTCAACAGATGGGAGGAGGGAAACAGGTGTGTGTGTGCGCGAAAACAACAAATAAATGTATCGTGTATATAGATATGATAATGTCATATGTGAATACATACAATAATATACACAGTGTATCAGTGAGTATCAGAATATACATTTCAGAGGAATACATGTAGTATATAACATTGCTGTAATGTTTTGTAGATAGCTAAACCTAAATAAAAAGAAAAAAATATTGGTATAATAAAAAGTATTCAGCCTGGGCAGCATTGCAAAACCCCATCTCTTAAAAAATGTTTTTTTTAAATTAGTCAGGGGTGATGGTGGGTGCCTGTAGTCCCAGATACTCAGGAGGCTGAGATGGGAGGATCCCTTGGATCTAGGAGTTTGAGGCTGCAGTGAGCTATCATCTTGCCACTGCACCCCAGCGTGGGCAGGAAAAAAAAATCTAGAAAGTTGCCAGGCCAAATGCACTTACACTTTCATCACATGGCTGACCTCGGAGTCATTTCTTTGAATTTGCCCTGCTTCCCCCTCCAAGTCTGAGCCCACATATATTTCTTTGGATTTTTTTCCCACGCGGGCATGTTTTCAGCTAGGCTTTCTGTGTTGCAGAGTTCTCAGTTGTGTGCAGTGGACCATTAACCAATACAGTACATTAATGCAGACATACTGAGTCCTCTGGTATATGTTGAAAGGATTTTCATGTAAAAGGCACAAATATTTGGAAATAGCAGTTTTCCCAAAAAGGCCCAAACTGATGGTCTGGAAGAAGAATAGCAGCTATAACTGAAGTAGAAAGCAGAAGTACCTGAAGGTAGTCCAGGTGCTTTCGATAGTATGAATCTCCTTTTTCTCCCCTCCTCTCAAAGCGTGATATTTCTTGGTACACCTAGAAACAAATACCACAATGCTAAGATGAAGCTGAAAAAGAAATCAACCTTAGGGAGAGATCTGGAAAAGAAAATCAGCATGGTGGACACTAATATTCAATAGCTCTGCTGTCTCCTTTATGAACAGAATCCCAACTTTGCTGTCTCTCCTAGCAGGACTGTGCCCAACTTCAGAGTCTGTACTGGGACTTATATTTTCCTCATAGGCCTAAATAGATATTTAAAAGTTAAGCATTTTGACCAGGCACAGCAACTCATCCCCGTAATGCTCACAGTCTAAGAGGCCTAAGTGGGAGCATCACTTGAGCTCAGGAGTTGGAGACCAGTCAGTACTAAAAATAGAATTATCCAGTTGTAGTGGCTGCCACCTATAGTCCTAATTACTTGGGAGGCTAAGGCAGGAGGATCACTTGAACCCAGGAGTTTGAGGTTGTTGTGAACTAGGCTGATGCCACGGCACTCCAGCAAGACTCTTTAAAAGAAAAAAAAGGGCTCAGTGCCCGTAGCTCAGTGGTTAGGGCACCGGCCACATGCACCGGGGCTGATGGGTTCAAATCAGGCCAGGCCTGATAAACAAAAAAAGAAAAATAAAAAATAGCCAGGCATTAAGGCAGGCGCCTGTAGTCTCAGTTACTAGGGAGGCTGAGGCAAGAGAATCGCTTGAGCCCAAGAATTTGATATTGCTATGAGCTGTGACGTCACAGCACTCTACCAAGGGTGACATAGGGAGACTCTGTCTCAAAAAAAGAAAGAAAAAGAAAAAAGGAGCATTTTATAACAGAAGAAGATGAGGATCGGCCATAATTAGAATAAATATGCCATGATGTGAGTGGATAAAATAAACTTCTGTCTACCATATTGAGTAATGCACACCAAAACAGAAAGAAGTGACATTTTACAGTGTACTTGTAGATATTCTTCAAATGTATCTTGAAAATTTAGAAGTACTAAAAAATACCCTCACTTAAAAGCATCAGGGCCAATACATTTCACTGCTTTGGTTGTTCTAAAATTACAGCAATTTCAACCCAAGCCATATTTCACCCCTAGGATAAATGTGCAGCCAGAGAAAGACAAGAGAGCAGCCCATAACTCATAAAAGGAGGCTTTGGTGCCATTTGCTGTTTAAACCCCCTGGGCAAGATACCACAGAACAAACTGGGATGAGTGGGCTGCTTTTACTGTTAAGTCTGTGAAGGGCAGTGGAGAAGACAGATGCTCTCTCTGGCATCCCCTCTTCCCCCCACCCCTTTTTAAAAGCCAAGTACATAAGAGGTTGAGGGTCTGCAAACTGTTTGTAGTAAAATAATCTGTGCTTTCAAATCCCCTAGAAAGCCTTAGCTTTCCCCCAAGGATAAATATGCCCTAGTTTTAAGACCCACAGGTGTAAGCCAATCACAATGCTCCTTTTTCCCCTTTGGTGCTGATTGACCTGGAGTGGGTTTGTGACCAGGCTCAAACCAATGAGACTCAAAGAGTAATAAGGGCCTCTGGGAACGTTTCCTTCCATTTCCATATGAGTGAGACTTTTTTGCATGGAGCTGTGCTGGTTAGTTGTAGCCTAAAGAAATAAGGTTGAAGAAAGAATCAAGATATAAGCCCAGAAAGGCGGAAATCCTCAATCTTCCCACTGAGCTACCAGAGCAAGTACATGTCAGCCTAGACCTGGGCTTGTCCTGGTTAAGCACAGGGAGTTGAGTGTCATAGTGTGCTGCCAAAAGCATTCTGGCTGCAGCAGTCACCAAAGGTTATTTCTCTTCTGTTTTGCCCTGGGGAAAGTCGGAGACATTTCGGTGCCCTAGGCCAGCTGGTCTGGAGTTACGAAACCACCAGAAACAACTAGAAGGGTCAGGTCCCCGTGTCAGGCCCCTCTATCACAGCTTCCAGGTTTCAGGGTGCCACAGGCCAGGATGGGACAGGCGCCATGATTTTAAAATTAAATAGTTTCTGGCCAACATCACAAGCTAATGGTTCTATAAGGTGGATTTTGCCTCAAGTTATGTTTTGTTTGGCTCTGGTTGTTTGTTTGCTTGTTTGGGAGGTGTTGTTTTTGAGTCAGTCTCACTCTGTTCCCTGGGTTAGAGAGCCATGTTGTCACCCTGGCTCACAGCAACTTCAACTCCTGGGGTCAAACGAGCCTCTGCCTCAGCCTCTGGAATAGCTGAGACTACAGGCACCCTCCACAACGCTGGGCTCATTTTTCTTTTTCTTTTTCTTTTTTTTTTTTTTAGTACAGGCAGGGTTTCACTCTTGCTCAGGCAGATCTGGAACTACTAAATCCAATGAATCTTCCAGCCTTGGCCTCCCAGAGCTCTGGGATTACAGGCGTCAGTCACCGCGCATGGCACCCACCCCACCCCCACCCCATTCATGTCATTTTAAAACTTGTTTTGAATGTCTTGACTTAATGTTTAAAAATTAGGAGATGTCATATTAAAATATGGCTTTGGGGCTTTTTTGTTGGAAATTCAGAAGTTCTAGCAATATCAGACTCAGGTAGCAACAACCGACTAGAGAGAGGAGTAATTCTCCTCAGTATGCCCCACCAAGCCCACATGGCTCATCTTCATTTTCTGACTTTCCATTTCCATCCCTTTTCATTCGAATTATCCAGTTTGGGAGCTTCTTTGAAGAAAGAATCAGGATAGTGAAACAGAAAGGGGAAATCCCCAGTCTTCCCACTGAGCTGCCAGAGCAAACACATGTTGGTCTAGCCCTGGGCTTTTCCTGGTTTAAGCACAGGGAGTTGAGTGTCGTAGTGTATGACAGGGTGTGAGCCAGGGATCAACATCACAACCAGGGATGTACCAAACACCCATTGAATGAAAGGACATGCTGGCCAGTCCTGCAGTCCAGATGAGGGCCCCTCTTGTTAGTCATCCCCCAATATTTTCCTAAATGAGCTAGGATTAAGCAGTGAGAATTGACAGAGAGAAAGTAAGGAGGAAACTCTTTGCCATGTTTTCTTAATAATCTTAACCTCTTTAACTGAATTCAAAGTAAAGGAATATAAATTCATCCGTTTATTTAACATTTATTTATTTGTTGAACACCTATCAGGCACCGTTCTAATGCTGAGGATATAATATGCAATGAATAAGACAGACAAATTTCTTGTGCATGTGAAGCTGACATTAGAGTGGAAAATACAGACTGTGTGTATGATTTTTTTAAAGGAAAATATGGAGAAAGAGTGTGCCAAGGGGATGGGGAGGACATCTTAGAAACCTGGTCGGGAAGAGCCTCCCTAATGAAATAACATGAGCTGACACCTAAAGGAAGTGCCACATCCAGCCCATTGCTGAGCTATGGGGAGAGCCTTGCAGAGGGCATACGCAGAGCAAGTGCAAAAGCCCTGAGGCATGCTTGACACAGTCATAACAGTAGTGACCCTACTACCTTGGAGGGCTTTCCAGGGGCCTCGGGAGGCCAAGCCATAAGGATTTTAGGTTTCATTCAAAGTGTGGTGAGAAGCCACACTTTGGAAGTTTTTGAGCAGGGAAGTGATGTGACTTGCATTTTCAAAGGAGTATTGTGGCTGTTATGTGGTCATGGAATCCAGTGGATTTGGGGATGATGGAACACAAGTGAGGAGACCTGCTAGGGGATACTGTGAAAGTTTTCATGGGTATCAGTTAGGACCACAGTGGAAAGGTGGAGGTGATAAGAAGGTGGCCATTTTTCTCTGT